CTTTTATAAAATAATAATTTTGAGACTTTGAAATTTTATTAATTTATAGAGATTAATTTACAAAAAAAATACTCATTTGGATATCTTATTTTAGGATGTATTTAGGGCGATTTCAAATAGTCATTTTTAAGTTTTTGTCACAAAAATAACATTCAAAAATAAAATAACCAAAATAACCTTTTAATTTTGAAATTTGTAATTTTTATTTTTTAAATTTTGTAACCCTAAACCAAAAAATTTACCCCTTAACTCTAAACCCTAATTCTAGATTAGTTAACCCAAAGGTATTAGTACATATTTACCCTTTAATAAAAACTTATTTTGGTCATTTTTCTCTTTGAAGAATATTTTCTGTGAAAATAAACTAAAAAAAGACTATCCAATGGAAATGCACATATATTTATTCTAAGATAAAAAATATTTAGTTTTAGTGCATAGACATTAATTATTATTTTTGACAAGAAAATAAAAAGATAATTTTATTGTGAATATAAAACAAACAGTATAAGGGTAGGTTCTTACTTATAAAACATGTATACACATAAATTATTAATTTATAATATTAATGGGATAATATATTTACATATAACTTTTTTTAAACTATTATCTTATTATTTTATTGATTTGTGTCAAATTTTGAACTGACCCAAATTGAAACCAACAAAATTTATTAATTTAAAAAGATTATTAATTTATCAAATATTAATTTATAACTTTTCTACTGTATATTATTTTATTGTCTATTAGTCATGGAAATATACATTGGATTGGTTTGTTAAGGGTTTTGTATAAACTGACTTAATTAGAGGAAAAATGGATGTTTGTTAATGACTTGCCTATTATCAATTCATAAATTCCGAATTAATTTTTGAAACCTAACGATGTTGAGTATTAGCCATGTTTCCATGAGCAACTGTGTGAATATTTCAGGGATATGATAAATTTTTGTACATGAGATAGATCTCAAATCTCCGTTGGTAGACGTTGTCTCCAGTCTTAGACATCATCGCCTCCGATCTCCATTTAACTTTTCAACCTAAAGTAAGTAATTATAATTTAAAGCCATTTTAATGATTGAGCATGTGTTACTTCTGAGATTTCAATCATAATCTCTAGAATTTTTAGACTTCCGGTCAATAATTCTCCTTTGACAGTAATTTCTTCGTCTATTTGAATTTCAGGCCAAACGTCTTTATGTACACTCGTCTAATTATGTACGAGTTATTCAATTTATATTATAAATTTACTTTTATGACTTTCTTTATTGTTATATGAAACCAAAATTTTTAATCCCATAAGTGATTAGTAACTTTTCTCAAATAACACTTTAAATATGATAGTTCAAGATCAAACATATACGAGCATATCTTATTATAAAATCATTTACGGATCTTTAAGATAACATCTTATTTTTAGATATTCAGTTTGGAATACAAATTTCTTCCAAAATACAATTTTCTAAACTCTTCAAGAGTTGATTATATTCAAATTAATGATTCTATTGAATTTCTGATTAAATACAAATCGTGTATTGTTTAACTTCGAATTTTTTCATATACTCCATAAGCATATTTTGATCGAATAGCTATAGTTCCCGGGAACATGATTTTGATATCATTAAGCCTTCATGGATTTTATCTTTCAGAGATTGTCATTTCTAGTTCAAGTTTTTCCTTTATTGCCAGACTAATAAGAAACTTGAAAATAGTTGTACCTACCACGTGATACTATGTCTTTTCATAACCAATTTCATATTGATTTTTTTTTTTTGGTGTAACGACTCATTTATATCACACATGTTTTACACATTTTATGTATGAACTACTGGTCCAAATAATGATCTCTTTTATAAGAGTTTCTAGTTTTGTCTATTACTTCTTCCTGATTTCGCCAATCATTTCTTTGTGTACACTTTTCAATAGACTTTATTTCATGATCATTTTTCTTATTCATCATATCAACTGCTACTTTTCATGCAAACTTATCATCGACGTCAATTTTCTTATCGGTTCTATTTTATTTCATACATGACATAATTTATTGAGATCTCTTCATTGTCTCAGGTACCTGAATTCTTTCAATCATGTTTAATGTCTCTTTTGGAGATCATTCAAAACTCGACTTCCCCGTTTTGACCATTTTCAATATATATGCTCTTTCTAATTTACAAGGATTCTTATCGTTGTAACCAATGTCTACAATGCTTCAAGTGTGACTAGCAGTTTGATATTGTTCTTCTAGAACATCAACTATTCTTGGAGCATTTGCAGCTAGTATATGTGACTCGATCACTCTATTTATTTTCTTTTCCAACTGTTTATTTTCTCCCCTTTTGTTGGAAATACTAATTCACTTTTAGCATTCATATCGAATCTTACTTATATCCTTCACGGATTTCTTTAGATTCTTAAGTATCAATGGATATTCATATCCAACATATATTATATGAAATACGAGAGCTACAAATATAAGTAAGCAAATGCTTATCTTTGAAAGTATAAGTAAGCAAATACTTATTTTTGGAATATAAGAAAGTATAAGTAAGAAAATACTTTTTTTTTGGAATATCCAACATATATTATATGAAATACGAGAGCTACAAATATAAGTAAGAAAATACTTATCTTTGAAAGTATAAGTAAGCAAATATGTATTTTGTTAGATATGAATCTTCATTGATATTTAAGAATCTAAAGAAATCTTTGAAGGCTATAAGTGAATTAGTATTTCCAACATAAGGGGGAGAAACTAAACAGCTGGAAAAGAAAACAAATTGCTATGAATTATCATTGATCCTTAGACTAAAGAGAATTTCAAATACCAGTCCAAAAGATAATTCAATTACAGAGAATAGTAAAGCAATATCCAGATACATTTGCTTACCCATATAAATAGAGTGATCGAGTCACATATACCAGCTGTAAATGCTCCAAGAATAGTTGATATTCTCGAAGAAAAATATCAAACTACTAGTCACACTCGAAGCATTGTAGACATTGGTTCTAAAGATAAGAATTTTTGTAAATTAAAAGGAGCATATATATTGAATATAGTCAAAAACGAGGAAATCGAGTTTTGAATGATCTCCAAAAAAAGATATTAAACATGACTAAAAGAATTCAGGTACCTGCAACAATGAAAAAATCTCAATAAATTATGTCATGTATGAAATAAAATGGAACCGATAAGCAAATCAACGTCGATAATTAGTTTGCATGCAAAGTAGCAGTTGATATGATGAATAAGAAAGAGGGTCATGAAAGAAAGTCTATTGAAAAGTGTACACAAAGAAATGATTAGCCAAATCAGAAAGAAGTAATAGACAAAATTAGAAACTCTTATGAAAAAGATCATTATTTGGACCAGTAGTCCATACACAAAATGCGTAAAACATGTGGGATAGAAATGAGTCGTGACACCAAATAAAAATCAATATGGAGTTGGTTATGAAAATACATAGCATCACGTGGTAGATGCAACTATTTTCAAGTTCGTTATTAGTCTGGCAATAATGGAAAAACTTGAATAATATGACCCACTGGAAATGATAATCTCTGAAAGATAAAATCCATGAAGGATTGATGATATCAAAATCATGTTCCCGGGAACTAGCTATTCGATCAAAATATGCTTATGGAATATATGAAAAAAAAAATCAAAGTTAAACAATACACGATTTGTATATATCCAGAAATTATTAATTTGAATATAATCAAAACTCCTGAAGAGTTATGGAAAATTATATTTTGGAATAAATTTTTATTCCAAACTGAATATCTAAAAATAAGATGTTATCTAAAAGATCCTTAAAGGGTTGTATAATAAGATATACTCATATATGTTTGGTCCTCAAGTATCATATTTAAAGTATTATTTGATCAAAGTTACTAATCTTTTATGGAATTAAAAAAGGTGGTTTTATATAACAATAAAGAAAATCATAAAAGTAACTTTATAATATGAACTGAATAACTCGTAAATAAATAGACAAGTGTACGTAAAAAAATTTGGCCAGAAGTCGAGATAGGCAAAGAAATTATTTTCAAAGGAGAATTATTGACCAGAAGTCTAAAAATTCTAGGTAATATGATTGAAATCAAATGAGTTTATTTTTTAAGCTCAGATTATTAAAGAGATAAATCTGTTTATATTGCTTCGAGTGGAAGAAATGTAATAATGTGTGTGATTGTACTATTTTTCTTTATCATGATTTTTATTCCACTAAGTTTTTCTGTAGTAAGATTTTAACGAGGCAACAAAAATAAACACTAATGATAGACCCCCAAAAGATAATATTAGAATTCAATGATAAAGTCTATCAACGTTCTAAAGTTTCTGAGATCAAGAGAATCGAAGAATATGATCAAACATATGAGACTCATGCACTGCAGAAGAATGACAATATCTATGACCTACAAGTTCATTCAAGTGACAGTTTAGTCCGTTTATGACGTATGTACATATGAGGGGAAATCTTTGGGCGCTATACTCTTTTTCCTTAACACTGATTTTTCCTATTGGATTTTTCTGGTGAGATTTTAACGAGGCAACATCTATATCGTTTTGAAGAACTTTCTTATAATGGACATAAAATGGAAGTATTATGAACATTATGGGTTATTCATAAAGAAATTATTAGATTTACTTGTTCATTATTCCAAATTAGACTTTGTCTCCAACCTAGTGTAATCTTTAAGACACCAATTTCTTCTCTTCCGTTCTTTACTTATAACATTATTATACTTTTTTAGCCACTAGAATTTCGTGATCAAATTATTTGAAGACAATAAAACTGAACCGTGTGATTATTTGGGAATTTCGTGATCAAATTATTTGAAGACAATAAAACTGAACCAATCAAATTATTTGAAGACAATGAAACTGAACCGTGCGGGAGGGTATACTTGTCTAATAATAATCAACAAATCATCAACAATAGACCTCGCCTTACAGGTCTATTGCGTTAGTGCTTGCGCTTTGCAAATCTAAAATACTCCAAGGTGAAAGGTATTTATAAACTCAGAAAAGGGTCTTTGTAAACTGCAACAGTAATCATAATTCATTCCTGATAGAACCTACAAATTTGCGTGTTTCATACTCACATATGCATCAAACTGACAAACGCAAAGGCAGTCATTGCCAAATCTGTAAATTTCAGAAAGAGTAATCTTTCAAGTCTGATCTGGAGTCATCCATATCGACCTCAGCCGAGCATTCTTCAGCAGTAAGAGGAGGGAGTTTACGAGTCTTACGCTTCAGGTTGTGTTTGTGCCAATCACTCTTGAAATGCTCTCTGTATTGCTTAGCTTCTCCAACGAAAGTGTTGCAGGTACTGCACTTGATCCCTTTTCCTTCTCCTTCTTGCTTTGTGTCCTTAGTGTTACCAGTACCTATCTCTTGCTTCTGCATTTTCTTGCTAAGTTCAACGATGGTATCTGTCTCAGTCTCAACAGGAGGTAACAATGTCTTGTTTGTCATATCGTCATGCTCATCGTAATGATCCATGCTTGTGTCACCTTCAGCGTGAACTGATACAGCGAGTATCTCTAATCTCCCCTGCATACTCCTCACAAGAGAATCACACTCTCGGTATAGTCCCGGTTCCATCTCGCAGACCTGCACAAGAACCAATCAACGAGGATTAGAGAATTTTTTTTTTTTGAAAAGAAGTTGAAATGCTTAAAGCTAAAGAATCATTACAGTGGACATCAGAGTTCCAGATTCGTCTCTGGAGACAAGAGAAGCATCCCATTCTTTTAGCTTCTCCAAAAGCGAGGAGAAGTTCTGAACAGGAACAGTGAGACGCAGTCTCATTGGAGAACGCTTTATAGGGAAGTGCTTCTGCAGCTCGCGTATGACATCAAGAGCCTGCACAAGTTTAGTGATGAAAAAGAAGCTTTCCATAGGAACATTAAAACATAATAATACCCACCTGCTTCTTGGAATTGCTATTAGGATCCACAGCAAAGTGTACCTCATGCATTAGACGTTCTACCATGCTAATGGTATAAGGCCGTTGAGTTTGAGGGTTAATGGTTTTCTGCATTACAATGGTAGCAATATCCCGAAACTGGCTTGAGAGCTGCGACTCTCTCTCTTTTCCAGCAACTTGAAGCTCACCTTTGTCCAAAATCTCCAAGCAGATCTTGGTGTGATCATCAGATCCAAAGACCTTTATCAAGTCTTTCGATTTAGCAAGAACTCCTTTGGACACATTTGAGTAAACAGTATGTGACTGCAACACTTCATCTATGTCCTTTTCTCTGCACAAACAAATATATCATACAGAGATGAAACTAACCAATTGAACCTAAATATAGTCGATTCGCTTCTACGGATTAAGCAAACATTTGAACATAATCGTCATATCGTACAGAGATAAACAATCAATCAAATAGGGTTTAAGGCCTCTTTTCAAGAATCGAATAGGGTAAAATAAATCGATTTCAAGTGACGGAGAAAGCTTACACGCCGGAGCGCCATGAAAGGACCTTATTCTTGTAGCAAGCGATCTCAAAGCGGTTGCCTTGCTTTTTCAATCGAACCACTGCGACGTTCGTCAACCTCTTCTGCCCTACCGGCTGCACCAGCGTCTTCGACATCTCTCTCGTAAGTTTGGCAAACTGTGTTTTTGCTCTCGCCGGCAAAAGAGGTTTGTTAAGTGCCCTAATTGTGAAATAAACATTTTCTCGTGGCTTATAAATGAAAGAAAATAGAGTAATAGACCTAAGAGAATTTCCCTAAAAATTTTGTCTTAAAAATAAAAGAATATTTACACTCTCTACACAAGTGTTATCTCATATACTAGATATAAATCCGTGTGTTGCACGAAATTTATTTGATTTTTGATTTTTACGAACATATAAAAACTGAAAATATTTTCACATTACACCGTGTGGGTGTCGAAATCCACCTACTGTCAAATAATCGTAAATAAGGAAACTTCGGGAAAACCCTAAGTTTCCAGAGGAACCAACTATCTGCAGAACCACACAACGAAGACTAAGATAACAAGAAAACTTAGAATTATTAAAAGATAAACAAAAATCGAGAGCAAAGAGGTTCTTATTCCGAATCTGCGTAGAACTGGTACAAAGAGAGTAGCCGAAAACTTAAAAACGAAAAACCCTAATTGAGACGCAGCTCGCTAACAGAAAAATGGAAATATTCCGAAATGCTAGTTTTGATGGTGAGAGCTCTGAATTTCGTGTCCCTTGCTTCTGCTCTAGACCTCCTATTTATATACTCCTCGCCTTGGCTATCCGATCTTTCCATTTCGCCCAGATTTGACTAAATCGGGAATTTTCCATTTTTCTCGATTCTTCCTTTTCTTCCGCGGAAATCTTCTATTTTTCTTTAAACCTTCCTTTTATCTTCAAACTTGACTTTTATTTTCAACCTGCGAGTAAACCGTCAAAACGTTATCGAATCTGCGGGTTAGATTCCGTTAAGATCGCAAGATGGGTTTTTATCGCGTTTTAGGCCCTTCCGGGCCGTTTTGCGATAAATCCGTTTGCCGACTGTTTACGGGATCGTTTCCTGATCCGACATCGTTTTTAATAAATTCCCCGAGTTAATCGTAAGGTTTTACGATTTACTCGACTTTTTATTAAAAACACGTTTTTTACGATTTACTCGACGTTTTTATTAAAAACGCGTTTTTTATGATTTCGACAGAAATCTCGAATAAATCGTATGTTTTAGGCAATGTTCGGCGTTTCGTTTAACCGTCGCTGTTTTATACGATTTCTTCGAGTTCTTTGTCGAGAAAACGAAGTTTTTACGGTTTTTATCGTAAAACTCAAACGATAAATCGGATCGAGATGGAACGGGAGATGTTTCGGCCGTGGTTCAGAATGCGACCGTGTCGAAAGACGTAAGTTCAAATCGGGAATGCGGGAGAACGAGGCTCGGGACGTCCAGGAAGTTTTTAGTTCGCCCATTGGCGAACTAAGCCGGGCCAGCTTAGTTCGCCAATGGGCGAACTAGTTGAGCATTTCCTAGTTCGCCAATTGGCGAACTAGTCGAGTGCCTCTTAGTTCGCCAATTGGCGAACTAGTCTAGTGCCTCTTAGTTCGCCCATTGGCGAACTAAGTCGGTTCGGCTTAGTTCGCCCGCCCATGGGCGAACTAGTCGTGACTAGTTCGCGTTTTACGGCTTTTTCGGTTTTTTGCGGTTTCGTAAAACAATTCTCGATTTTTATAAAACGATCTTCGGGTTTTATAAAACGGCTTATCGAGTTTTATAAAACGATCTTCGGGTTTTATAAAACGGCTTTTCGAGTTTTATAAAATGATTCCTCGAGTTTTATAAAACGATCTTCGGGTTTTATAAAACGGCTTCTCGAGTTTTATAAAACGATGCTTGAGTTTTATAAAACGATTCTCGAGTTTTATAAAACGGCTTCTCGAGTTTTATAAAACGATTTCTCGAGTTATATAAAACGACCGTCGGGTTTTATAAAACGGCTTCTCGAGTTTTATAAAACGATCTTCGGGTTTTATAAAACGGCTTCTCGAGTTTTATAAAACTATCTTTGGGTTTTATAAAACGGCTTCTCGAGTTTTATAAAACGATTCTCGAGTTTTATAAAATGATTCTCGAGTTTTATAAAACGGCTTCTCGAGTTTTTATAAAACGACTCTTCGGGTTTTATAAAACTATTCCTTTTATATTTTTGCGGGGAGTTTTGGCTATTAATTCCGTCGTACCGATTTTGACCCCAACAGTTAGCCCCCCAGCTCGTAAGTATCGTAAGGTTCTTTTGAGTGGATTGAGCTCGTTTGGCGAGTTTGGTAGAATTAGGCGGAACTTTAATGGCCAAAAGTCCAAAGGTGAATAGTAAAATCCTTTCCTATAAGTATATGGAGTAAAATTTTGAATTCTTTACTCCATCTTCTATAACTTATTCAAGAAATTTTTCTCTCCACTTTCTTTGAAGATCTTCAAACATGTTTTCAGAAAGAAAGACTCGTTCCTCAACTAGTTCCAATTTCCACAATTCTGAGAGAACGAGTTCGCAGCCTCCAGCTTTGGTTCCGAAAGAAGAGTATTCGTCCCTGTTAACCGATCGGGCGGACCTCGAGGCCTTTTGGGCGTTGGGAGACGAGTCAGGATCCGCTAGGCCTGGGATTTGGGTTCCAGCCTTGTCGGACGTCGATCAAGTTTCCGGAAATCTGAGCTCGACACTTTTCAACAGTATCGATTACATGCGTGAATTTTGCCGAGTTCCAGAGGCCGTTGAGTTTCGTTCCCCACTTGCTAGGGAGAGTGACAGAGATGCGCCCGACGGTTTTTTCACCTGTTACAACATTTTCTTGCAACAATGCCACTTATGGTTTCCGATTCCGGAAATCATTGTGCATTACCTTCACAGGCTGGGACTATCGATCAGTCAGCTGACTCCCCCTAGTTTAAAGCAACTCGTTGGTCTTTTGACGATGAGTTACGAGCAGGGAATCACCCTTAACGTCGATCATCTCGAGGGTCTGTTAAAACCCACGGGTGCATCGCGGAGGATCACTCTATGCCCTCGTGACGAAATTGTTACGGGCTGCCCAACGCTTTATACTTCTTGGAAGAGGAATTTCTTTTACGTTCGTATCGACAGTGCATCGGTCGAGGAGGGTAGCATTCCGTTTTTTACGACCATGTGGGGTCGGAGAGGTATGTGAATCGAGTTTATACGAATCCTCTTCTTCTTATTATTATTATTTTAATTCGTTTTTGTTTTTCCGCAGTGACCAACCCTTTGCCTCCGTATCCCGCGGATCTCCGGAGCATCACCACTTCTCTCAAACGTGGTGAAGTTGGTTGGTGCAGTTTTTCTCCGCAACGCGTCAGCCAAGCGGTTGCCCTCTTCCGATCTCGACTCTTTGCGAATTCTCCGGTTTTTGAAGAGGATCCGTTTATTGGAGAGTTTATTCCGCATGTTCCTTTGACGAGGAGCGGCAGATCAGGCTTCCGAAAGGATAAAAATTCGGTTGTCGAAGATGATGATTCTGAACGCGCGACTTCTCCTGACAACATTCTCAAGGATTTTCTTGATAGTCAGACGGACGAAGGCGTATGGACAAAGGCGGGCGGGTCATCGACCTCCCATTTTCCGGACATCGACCACGATCAAGTCCCGGAGTTTATTAGGGGGTCTGAGAAAGCTAAGGAGGTACGTGTGTTTATTATTTTCTTTTTCGAGCAGTTTTTACGATATCGCTTAATCCTTTTCTTTTTGGTAGGGTTTCCTTATCATGAGCCGAGACCTAGACAGCCGTACCGCTGAAGCTCGCCTTGCCGAGTTTCGAGCGAACGTGGCCGAGAAAGAAGTTGCTCGTCTTCGGGCAGAGGTCGAGGCTAACCAAGCCGAAGAAGCGGTTGCGAGGGAGGTTGCTCGTGTGAGGGATGAGTGTGCGGCTAGGTCTCGTCATGCAAAGGAGCTTTCCGACCAAAGGATTCATCGTGCTCGTCGTACGGGCAAACGGGAGGTTGCCGAGGAGATGAAGGCTCGTCGCGAGCAATTTGCAACCGGTTGTTCCGATGCGGAAGTTGTTCAACGAGCACATGGTGATTATCGCGAATGTCGCGGGGTCGTTCATGGGTTATCCCTAACTCAGAATGAAGGGTATTCGTTTGATAAGGAATTCTCCGCACGGCGGAAAAACCTGAGTCGGGAAAGAGATATGCAATCCGAATTTTTCGACCTTAAGGCGCGCATGTGGGATCAATGGAATCCCGTCGTGGTGTCGCCGGATTCGGTCGAAGTTGGTCCTGGGATTTCGGACGTGGATGGTGAGGTCGACCAATCTGCGTTTGATGACTTTGATGTGTGATGTTATTAGTTTTTTTAATTCTGTCGTTTTTTTCCGGGACTGGCCGTTGGTGGCTTTGAATCCCTACCGCTGGGCGGTGTGTATTCGAAAACTTTGTTAATAAAAATATTTTCTAAGTATGAAATTCGTGTTTTGTGTTAGATGTAGAGGGAAGAATACGAGTTGTCATCTCGTATCTAACTCTTTGGTGTAAATCGTCCGATTCGTTAACTCGGGAGACTTCGATTTTCGCGAGTGTTTAGATGTGGGCGAAGAGACATGCCTTTAGGATCTCCTAAGTACGGAACTCTGCAATGCGACCAGTGTGCTGGGTTTAGGGCAAGACCTAGGTTTACTTTCGGATTGGGGCTGTGCGATGACTAGTCGGCTTTCGTTTTGCCCGTTGCGATTTTAACCTGATTCCATACCGATTTAGAATCCGCGATAGGTTCTCGGCTTATATGATTCGTCTGGTTGGAACCGAGCATCTCACCGGGAACAATTTTTCAGTTGCCCGGAAGTGCTGACCAAAAGTTTGGATTTCTTTTATAGCGCGCTATTTTATCCTCGTCGGATGTATGCGGACCGATAGGTCGGTGCGTTTGTTTAGGACGGCTAGCGTGCTCGACGAGGCCAATCGCCGAGCGTTCGTGTTTTTATAGTCGCGGACGGACTTTGGATAAATATTTTTCTTTGAGAGTTTAGGCGACGTCTCGCCAGTTCTTCCCGAAAATATTTTGATATGCGGATTTTTTAGAAAAAACGATTAAATAGTTGTTACTGCGGAAGCGATTTTCCGGATTTGCGCTTGTGATAGTAGCGGAGATATTCTAACTTTGTTTTTATTAAAAATTT